GTTTGTCTGCACACTATTACCTTGCTAAACATCAGGATTTCATCGCGGATTTCGCCTTATTAAAGCATATAAACTTATTTTCTTTTTCAGTATAAATGGAATGCAAGAACGCAGGTGACAACGTGGTTTGACAGCAAAAAAACCAACCGAAGCAGGCTTCATGATTACGGTAATCCTATCTTCGACCTCACTGAATGTAACTCGAAGCTTTGTCACTTATCTTTCTCTGTAATATAGAAATTCTCCTTGTAACAGCAAATAAGTTCTGGAGTGGGCTACTGAGGAGCTACTATCTGCCACGAGATTCAACCTATTTTGGTCTTTAGTAATAGAAGTAACGATAGTTGCTGTGAATTTTTTTATTTTTTTTAATACAAAGCCTTTCAATCTCGAGATTTCTTCCTTGTCATCACATGTAGCAATCATAGCGTCCACATAAATAATTAAAGTTGTTATCTTACTCCTTCAGCATTTTAAGAATAGTGTATGATATGAATTACTTTGCTTGAAGCCATACTTCCTCATGGCCATTTGGAGCTGCCTAAACCACGATGATTACTTTATTTCGTACAAAGCCTTTTTCAACTTACACACCACCTCCGTTTGTGTAGGTGACGTATACCCTAGTGAGATGTCCATATACACCACTTATTTAAGATTTCTATGTAAGAAGGCGTTCTTTACATCACTTGTGGTAAGGGCCAATCTAGATTTGCTGCCAAAGAAATCGACACTATCTTTGCTATTGGGCAAATGTCTCCTTGTAGTCAATATAGTAGCTTTGACTATAACCCTTAGCAACTAATCGTGCTTTGTATCTATCATGACTTGTTGACTCTAAAAATTAAAAAGCCTACATGGCGCGCTGAGTAATTATGAGCTACTTACCTTCTTTTTGTGAAAGCAGGCATGCCAACTCGCAACCAAGATCGGTAAAGCGAGTGAAATGGATGTGATGGTGGTCTCGAATGTGCTGCTAACTTCTACACCAAAGAGACTACGACCGAGGAAGGAACGCCTCTCGACCTTGGGTTATGCAACTTAAAGACAAGGTTACTAGATTAGTGCGAATAGACTTGTCTTTCATTGTGCCAAACAAGGGGTAACCAGGTAATACCTCACTTCATCGAAGCTAATGAGATGACCTATTGAGACAAGAGAATTGGGAATTCTTAGTCTGCCATGACTTGGTTAGATAACCGACCATCCAGCTGCAGTTCTGTTCATTTCTTTGAACTGAAGGTGCTTCTAAATCGCTTGGTTCTACACTTCAGTACTGTTAATCCAAATTGAAGACGTGGCCGGTTGTCAACACAATGCCATTCACTTATCCGGACTGAAGATGTGTTGACAGAAGCGTCAAGATAGTTAGCGTTTTTTGTCAAGGATATGAGAAGAATGAGCGAGAGTTTTTTGCACAGAGCTTTTTGAGTTATTTGTTGAGTTAAATGAGACATCTTCTATTGCAGAGCCTTTTGTATTTATAGATGAGGCATCTGTGTTAAACAAGCGTGCTGAGGTAGAGTCTTGATGGGCTGTATTTGCTCGACATCTACTTAAATATTCCCCTTATACTTTAGTGGCTAAAACTTCATCTACATATAGTCTCGGCCTCTTTGATTTAAACTAGGACTCTAAATCTGATCTCTTTATGTGACTCATTCATCTTAATCCAATCATGCAAACATTTTGATCATTGGGATAATTTGTATTTATCTAAGGCTCAATATGGTCTCTAGCAATTTTAATTCGTATAGTACTGGACCGAGCCACTTTCAATTGATCTCTTCACAGTCCTTCTTTCATAAGGACTTGATCGGAATGATCCTATTTATGGGCTGAAAGGCCGTTGGCCTGAAGGATGCCTACTGGGCTGAGGTTCGTGGTTCTTGAGTCGACCCTCCTTGGTCCAAATTGTCATTTTAGGCACAAACAAAAACCATCAACTTTATGTTTATTCATGTATACTTGCCTACACTGATGCTATTTTCTTCATTCATAGTAATTGAACTAAATCCCACATTTTTTTTTTTTTGAAGGTGTACTCATCTCTTCCTTCATGATTTGGTGCATCCAGTATCAGATAACGCTTCTTTCATGGAACCCAGAACATTGTCAGTTGATAGTTGTTGTATGAATGCCTTGCCTGGTTTTGATAGTTTACTTGATGACACATGGTTGGCAATAGGATATATAGACCTTTTTGCTTCATCATGTAAGTAGGCCTGGCAATTTCTGACACGACCCGATAACCCGACACGACACGACACGAAATTAACAGGTGTTTGGGTCGACACGATAACGAATCGGGTCGTTATCGGTAACCCGATAAGCACCTGTTAAGATAACGGGTTGGTTCGGGTATACACGTGGGTAACACGATACACGATAAGCAGAATATTATTTTTATAATTTTATAACCCTAAAAAAATACTATAATAATTATATACATTAATTTTACAATTTTATAACCCTAAAAATTATAATAAATATATATATGTATATTAAATTAACTATAAAATTTATAATAATTATATATACTATAATAATTATACCCCCAAAATATTAAGTCTATCTATAATAATTATATATATATATATTAAATTTTATAAAAACTATCATAATTATTAATTAATAATTTAATATGCATGATGCATTGCATGATTTTGCATCCATTGAAATTTGATGTGATTTCTTTCCATTCAAATTTCAATAATCAATTTCTTGCCGTTGCCAACTTGCCGCCCTTTTTGAAAAAAAAAATGGAGGGAAATGAAAATGTTAAGAAAAGTTGAAAATGAAACAAAAAAGTGAGGGAATTAGGGAAAGATGTTGGAGGGAAAAGTGAAAATGATAAGAAAAAGTTGAAAAGGAAACAAAAAGAGAGGGAAAAATGAAAATTAATAGAAGTGGTGAGAAATTTTTTTTTTTTTAAGTTATTAACTTTTTATCACACACATGACTGTCATGACATATCTCACTATTTTATAATGACACACGTGACACGTGATGTATGTACTATTCCGTGTACCAGTCAATTATAATTTATACGTATAAAATAAATAGATTTAAATCTACTTAATAAATATATATATACATACACACACACACACGGAACTTGATTGATGGCATACGAATTCTCCAAAACTAATTTCAACGATCCAAACCATCAAAATTGTTTGTATATGCTTGGAGATCACATCAGCAAAAAATCACAAAAAAAAAAACATTCAGAGATCAAGTAACGGGACAAAGCTTTTCAACGGTTATAAACGAAAAATCACGATTTAACGGTTATTTTAACTCCGATTTTGATGATTTTTTATAACTACACTCTTTGACCCTATATGAATACAATGAATGAATTCGATCTTCAATTTAAAATATTTACACAAGTGGATACCACAAAATCTTATGTTATACTTAATGAAAGTATAAATAAACTCTAAGTGTTAGTCAATCTATCGTTTTACGAATTCTCCAAAACTAATTTCAACGATCCAAACCGTCAAAATTGTTTGTATATGCTTGGAGATCACATCAGCAAAAAATCACAAAAAAAAAACATTCAGAGATCAAGTAACGGGACAAAGCTTTTCAACGGTTATAAACGAAAAATCACGATTTAACGGTTATTTTAACTCCGATTTTGATGATTTTTTATAACTACACTCCTTGACCCTATATGAATACAATGAATGAATTCGATCTTCAATTTAAAATATTTACACACGTGGATACCACAAAATCTTATGTTATACTTAATGAAAGTATAAATAAACTCTAAGTGTTAGTCAATCTATCGTTTTACGAATTCTCCAAAACTAATTTCAACGATCCAAACCGTCAAAATTGTTTGTATATGCTTGGAGATCACATCAGCAAAAAATCACAAAAAAAAAAACATTTAGAGATCAAGTAACGGGACAAAACTTTTCAACGGTTATAAACGAAAAATCACGATTTAACGGTTATTTTAACTTCGATTTTGATGATTTTTATAACTACACTCCTTGACCCTATATGAATACAATGAATGAATTCGATCTTCAATTTAAAATATTTACACAAGTGGATACCACAAAATCTTATATTATACTTAATGAAAGTATAAATAAACTCTAAGTGTTAGTCAATCTATCGTTTTACGAATTCTCCAAAACTAATTTCAACGATCCAAACCGTCAAAATTGTTTGTATATGCTTGGAGATCACATCAGCAAAAAATCACAAAAAAAAAAACATTCAGAGATCAAGTAACGGGACAAAGCTTTTCGACGGTTATAAACGAAAAATCAAGATTTAACGGTTATTTTAACTCTGATTTTGATGAATTTTTACAGCTACACTCCTTGACCCTATATGAATACAAAGAATGAATTTGATCTTCAATTTAAAATATTTACACTAGTGGATGTGGATATCACAAAATCTTATGTTATAATTTATATACTTAATAAAAGTATGAATCAACTATAATATTAATAATTATATACATTAATTTAATAATTTTATATCCCTAAAAAGTACAAACTATAATAATTATATAGATGTAGGTGTAAATTGAATACAATTTCATGATGATCGATGTAAATTGAAGATTTTGTAAATAGAGGTGTAAACTTTTGAGAAAGACTTGCAATCTTAAAACAAAAACTCTTTATCCTTGCACATTTAATATTTGTAATATATTAGTAGTGTATGTATTATTTTTTTATTAGGCTTTTATTTTCGAGTGTAGATATAGTACTTGAACGATAAATGTTTTAATGTTTTGAAGTAATATTTATGTGGCAATGTGTTGTATGTGCAAATTTAAAAAAAATATATTTTTTTCTTAACGGGTCATAATGGGTCATAACGGGTCGGGTCACTTTACCCGTTGGGTAAAGTGACACGACCTGTTAAGGACCCGTTAAGATAACGGGTGTGACACGACACGACCCGTTAAGATAACAGGTGTTACACGAAAACGACACGAACACGATAGACACGACCCGTTTGCCAGGCCTAGTTTTAACCAAGACAATCTTCTGCCCATTTTAAATTAAATTTCGAATAATTTAAAATAATTTTTTGCTTGATTTTTAGTTTTCATAAGCTGGTGTACCCGCCCGTTATTGCGGTGTTTGAAATATTGTTGAAGGTGTAGACAGTAAATTGACTCTTTTGAAATCTTTAATTCACTTTGATCCACACCCAATCATTCCTTTTTTTTCCTCTACTTTTTGTACAAATAATCTATTCAATGTCAAACCTAAAAATGATTAGAAACTAAACTTCCCGTGCTGAATTGATTGGAACTAAAATTGGTTATGCGTTTCTCATGCTCGTAACATTTATCATTTGCAATCGGTAAAATTTTCCTGATAAAGGGAAAGCAAGGAGAATAAGTTATAAGCAAAGTTGACAGACAAAACAGTTCGATGCACAGAGAGAGAGAGAGAGAGAGAGAGAACTTACATCAGCTGTGCTCTCAAATACGTATGGTAATCTGCATACGAAGAAGCAGTTCTAAATCATCCATTCAGGCCATTAAATTCTATGGAACGAAACTTCAAATGAAATGCACATAGATTACCTTAAATTCTGATCCTATGATTTTGCATTTGACTCCAACCAACATGCATGCTTAGAGGATATATACCATCAAGTATAACAGTCAGTAGACGCTCATACCACCACCAGCACATACAAACACAAAAATGCAAACAGAATTTTGATGAGGCTCGGTAATTCTGAAATATCACCTGTGTTTCGTTCTCAGCAACATTGTCTTGTGAGGAATAGCAACTTTTATGGTTCCGCTCAAGAATTTTGTTCATACTGATCCAAGCGGGAAAACAGTCAAACATTTTAAAGTTATAAATTAGAGGTAATAGATAAATAAAGATAGAGAAATCTGAGTGCGAGATGATAGATGAAATCAGATTGAATAGATCAACTGGTGTTAAGACTGTTTGGATTTTACCATGCGTACATACATACAAAGAAGTTTTGAAAACCGAAAACGAACCGACAGAACTGAAAATGGCTGATCTAATCAATTTCAGATGTCGCAAGAATCCACGGATCACTGCAAAACCAACCCAATAATACAATAACAAAACAAACACAGATCAACAATCCCAAAACTCAAATTCTGACGCAATCAAATTAATCCCCTGCCTAGCCTACTAATTTCTCCAAAATTAAAACCCTAAATAAAAAATTAATGCCCATATCCCCAATTTGTAGATCCCTAATTCAAAAGCCCGATGTAACTCCCTAATTCTTTTATAAATAAGAAATTGCTTACCTTAATGGCTTGAACGCCGGAGATAGAGCAGAGAGGATTGCGTTCGACGGCATGGCACGGTAAAGTGCGCCGCGGTTCGTATGGAAACAGCTCGTCGGAATTCGAAGACCCAGACCCTAGCAGCTTAACACTTGAAATTGATTTGTTGGTTTCAAACTTCGATTGTGTGGGAATTCTCTTCGTTGATAAGAGGGTTTGAGGTTTTATGCGATTTCTTTGTTTGAGGTTTACAATTTTTTTTGCTAATTGTGAGCGACAGAGATGAATTTCACCTTTTTTTTTGTGAAAGGTGAGTGAAAAAGGAAAAGAACTCAAAAGATAAAAAGAAAGAAAGAAAGAGGAAGAGAAAAAGAAAGAGTGATGAAAAAGGGGCCGGTTGTAGAATATAACGAGAATGGAAGGTTTAAAAGAAAATGGGTAAATTACATTTTATCCTTCTCAAGTTTGAAGTCGATTTTAATTTTTTATAATATTTTTAAAACATTTTAATTTTATACATTTATTTATCATTCTATTTCAATTTTATATATTCATTAAACAATCAGTTAAGTAAATTGTAGAGTAATGACGTAGTAAATATGAAATCCATATTTGTGATGATGTGATTACTAAATTTGTACCACGTAACGAAAAAAAAAAAATTTAATGCATTTAAAATATAATAATATTTACCTTATTTAAATTATTAAAAAAAAAAACAAACAACCTAGAAAACGTAGAACCCATCTTCTCCTTCCCTTCCCGACCCCCTCACCTTCACCGAGCCCAAACCCCTCCACCTCCGATGCTCTTCACCGCCACCATGTCCAACCCTCCCTCCCCTCCCTCCTCCTCAACTCCCACCTCGACGCCATCCCCGCCGAGCTCGACAATTGCTTTTTCTGGGTTTGTGTTCTGTAACCTCACCCATCCTCGTCTATCTTTAACCTCACCCATCCTCGTTAGAAATCAAACAACTAAACTCACTTTTCTCCCAACTAACCTAAAACCCTCACCTTCACCCTGCTAGCTACCACAATCAGTGCTCTCACAAATTAGTGAAATCACAACCACCGTACGTTGATTGAAAAATTCCATGGCTTTCTGAAGCAAATAAAACTTGGGTTGCAAGGAGAAAACCCCAAAAAAATCCCAATTCAACGAAATGGTTGTCCTGGAGACGAAATCTCAAATCCCCATTTTTCTTAGTTCAAAGCTTCAGCTTTCTCTTTAGAATTAGAAATGAATAAAAGTAAAAGATTAATTTGTGGGAAATTAAGAGGCTTGGGTTGTGGGTTTGCAATGATGCACAACTATTGGCTAAAGAATGGATTATTGGTTGTTACAGTGTTGGTGGTTGGAGAAAAAAAATAGAGGAATGTGGGGTGGGGCGGGGTTACCTCTCCGTCTTCGACACCCACATGGTGGTCATGGTAGGGAAGAAGTTCAATGTTGGCAAGGTAGCAGGGAGGAAGAACCGCAGCAAAGTCGTTGACTTCGGGGCTTCGTGGGGCTTTAATGTGTTGTTGAACTCGGGGATTGCTGAAGCTCGAGGCTTCGTGGTGGCTGCAGTGTGTTGTCGAGGCTTCGGGGATTGCTGAAGCTCGAGATTTATTCTCAACTATCTCTCTTGCAGATTTATTGTCACAATATAACTACATAGTTTCCTTTAGTTCACAACCAAGACATCTCAAAAGTTTACGTAACTAAAGAGGTTCACATATTCCATATGTCATACCTCTATACTTAGCTTCCAGACGACCTTGACACCACTTTCTGCTTCTTACTACACTACGTAACCAAATTACCTCCAACAATCGTAAAATATCTAGATGTAGAAAGTCTGTCAGTAACATTGCTAGCCCAATCTGCATCTGTAAACCTCTCAACTTTTAGATGTTCATGTTTTTTCATAAAGTATTCCTGTACTAGGTGCAGATATGCCACAATTTGCATTACCGGAGCTATGTGACATTCATTGGGCGAGTGCATACTTCAGAGTGTGAGAGGGAAAACGAATTAACAACAAAACAAGTTCCGGTTTGAGAATTCATACTTCAGAGTGTGAGAGAGAAAACACTGCGATACGACACTGTTGCGTTGTGAACCTCTGCTTCGCTTTTGCATTTGGTACAATAAGAAGATGCTCAGAAAATGTGGCGGGAAATCGGAGACAGGGAAGCGGGCAACCTCCACCCAAATTTGTTCTCGAATCGAATCAGGTCATCTCCCCTCACCGAGGCTCCGTCAATTCTCTCCAGCTCGATTTGACGGAGGGCCCGTACCTGTTATCCGGCGCCTCCGAAGCTTCCACCGCCGTGTATCTTCGAAACACAATCTCTCTTACAATTTTTAATCTCCTGGCAACGCACGGGCATAACTTTCTAGTCCATCCTATTTGGTGACCTGCATCTTTTTTTAGTTGACCTTAGTGAAGTACACAATTTTACATGCGGTTTAGGGCCCATTTGATAATCATTTCATTTAGCTTTGGGGTACACATGTTGTCAAATTAGAAGAAAAATATAAAACTTAGTGCTTTTAGATTTCTTAGTTGTTTTTGCTTTTAGTTAGCAAATTGCAATTGTATCCAGAAGAACTTTGCAAGAAAAAAAGAAATTATTACGTACACTCCCTTCTTACTTTATTAGCTTATTCTCAATTTACAGAATGACCAATTTGAAATGGTGCTCCAAGGAACGTATATATTGAAGAGCAACTCACTTCATCCATAACCAATAGAGCTAAGGGTACGTTCTTTAATTATAACCATATTTGATTTGAGTTGGAATCTTGGATCTCATTTATGGCATTTGGTTTGCTTCTAAATCTGGTGCCATGCAAGCTTGTACCTTTCAGTCTGTGTATTGATTATTTATCGTGTTTATGTTAAATCTGCCATAGTTTAGTGTACATACGTGATGCAATCTTGAAAAAGAATGAAGAACAAATCAGAGAATTTTAGAGATCAAATGCTTGAGCTAAGAGTAGCAGCTCAGCATCCTTCATACATTCTTATCTCTTATCCTTCACTACCAAACAAAGACAATTACTCTGAGCCTGTCAATCTAAAAAACTAATTTGGTGCATACACTTGTCTAATGAAACCAAGTCCACACCTAGTTCACTAACAACAAAGTAACACTAGCCTTATGGAATTCAAGCAAAACAAACACAAACAAATTTCTTGTGTTCCAAGTTGTAGGATCAAAACCAAATCTCATTTAGCTCCAACATTCCCTTCTATATGGATTATGCTTTGACTCCAAGCAGTCCTCTCAGATAAACAAATTTGTGTTTAGGCAGAGTTTTGCTGAAAATATATGCAATCTGATCTTCAGACTTGCAGTACAACAACTCAATTGTGTTTTCCAGCAATGCCTCTACGATGAAATGAAATTTTCTTTAATGTGTTTATTCTTCTGATGGAACACATGGTTTTTAGTCTTGGTCTTTGTTATACTATGCATAAATCTTGATAGTAGGTTTGCTACAAACATGATATCAAGTCTTGTTGTTGTTGTTGTCAAATATAGTAGACTGCCAACAATTTTGTTGTACAAATTCTCATCGGCAGCTTCAGTTCCATCATTTTTACACTTTTTGATTTGTAATCAATGGGGTAGCAACAGACTTGCATCATTTTTGTCCAAATTTCTCAAGTAAGGTTTGCGCATATTTTTGCTGATGTATGAAAATACCACTGGATTCTAGAATCACTCCAATTCCCAGAAAGTGATGAAGAAATCCCAAACTAGTCATTTCATAATGCTTCGTCATATCCTCCATGAGTTTAGAAATCATAGCTTCATTGCTTCCAGTGAACACCGCATCATCAACATAGATAAACACAATTAGCTTTTTGAGCCTTTTCCCGTCTTTATATAAATTGCCACCTCACTTGAACTTTTGCTGAAACCTCTCTTGCGGAAGTAGTGGTCAATTTCACTGTACCAAGACCTTGGTGCTTACTTCAGTCCATACAGTGCCTGCCTTAATTTGAACACCTTCTCATATTTATTTGGAACCACAAAACCTTATTCAAGTATGCTATTGACAATAAAGATGAATACAATTTCCAACCTTTATGTGTGGCCAAAGGAAGTAAAGTCCTAATAGTGTCCAACCTTGCCATTAGAGCAAATGTTTCATTGAAATTCACACCAGGTTGTTGGAAATAACACTTAGCAACTAGTCTTACCTTGTTCTTTTGTACGAAGCCATCTAGATTCAGTTTGGTCTTATAGATGCATTTCACACCTATCACTAGTTTGTCCCTTGGTCTATTCACAAGTTCCCAAGTTGAGTTTTTCTCAATCATACAATTCCATCACTCATTGCCTTCTGCCAAGATTGGTCATTCTCAGCTTCTTCAAAGCTTTTAGGTTCCATTATACGATAGTTGCACGTTGCATAAATCTCACTCAACCTCCTCATTCTTAATGAAGTTAATCCTAAGGGAGAGTCTTGCACTTCTAGGTCCTCTGGTGTTGAACTTAAATGTTGGGGAGACTAAATTTCAAACACAATTTCACTCTCAGTTTGTGTTTCACATTCCACTTTATCAAGTCTAAGTGGTACCAAGATGATGATATCTTCAATCTTTTTATCCCAACTCCTAACAGCTTCTTTATTAAATATGACATCCCTCAAAATAATGACCTCGTAAGTTTCAAGATTGAAAAATCTATACCCTTTCTCTTAACTCCTATATCCCACATAGATGCATTTGGTGTTGTTGTCCTCAAGTTTGTGTCTCAATTGTGTTGGTATCTCTGCATAACAAATAGAACACCCTTGGATGCTTCACATCGAGTTTCCTGCCACTAAATCCTTCAAAAGGATTCATTTTATCAAGTGTCTTTATTGGACATATGTTGAGAAGTTAGACTGCAGTTTTAACTGCCTCACTCCAAAATGAATGTGGCATCTTCTTTTCAAGCAACATGGATTTTGCCATTTCAATCGCTGTCTAATTTTTCCTTTCTGTAATACCATTCTGCTATGATCAGTAAGCAACAGTTAGTTGTTTCTGTAGTCCCATATCCTCACATAACTCCTTGAACTCGATTTAAGTATATTCCCCACCTCTACCCTTTTAAGCTTTTTTATTTTTAGTCCATGTTGTAGTTCAACCATTGCTTTGAACTTTTTTTGACAAAAACACTACTCTTACCGCATAATTTTACCATCATTTGTATCATCTCTCTAATAGAGATGAGAACTAAATGTGTTAGTGGGCCCCACTTTATTAAAACGTAATTAATATTTGAAAATTACAATTAAATGCCAAGAAACTAGTTAGTTTCTAATCTTAGACAAGGTTTTATTCAAAAAGTAATCTATTTCAATAAGTGGAATAGAATTTTGCCCTTTTCATAATACACTTTGAAATGTACTGTG